ACATGGGCTGGAATTGGGAACCGCTGATGTAGCCTATTGTAATGTTGCCTCTGGTATTCTGGTCTGTGAGCAAGCGTATTTGCGTTCCGGGGGCGTGGCTTTGGACGGTGATTGCAGGGAGGGTGGGACGTTTGCTTTCAGTGCTATCAGGCTACAGTTAGCATTTTCCAAGATCTCCTACTCCACCTTTAAACCATTTTTAGGGACTGACAGCCTCAGTTATCATTCACTTTCATTGGATCCTTTTTTCCATAAAATGAAACTGAATGGTCATTGAAATTGTCATTCTAAAGGTGCTATAATACCAGCAAAATTTTGAAGCGAAAAAGGTGTATTGTCTATTGTCAATATTGTAGCGATGTATGAAGCACAGGTTGCCTACAGCAACACACAAGTCACTTTCAAACCAAGCAGCTTTCTGTTGGTCAACGCAGTGAATCCACGTGACCGAAATCTGCGTGGGGAAATTTTTCGCACTCACGCAAATTCAAAAACGGATTGCTATTGAAATGATTGCATCTCGCCTGCGAAAATTGGCTGAACAACGGTAAATGAAATCGCAGCTTAACATTTCATTAAGTAATGCGGGTTTGGAACTAGCCTACATGAGGGTGAGTTAATGATGACAGTTGTTTCATTTTTGGATGAACTTTTTCTTTAATATCAAAGTAGCAGCGTATTACAACAAGTAAAACATCTCAAACTCCTTCGGGCCACTGCAACATTCTCCTTGCACTCTATAAATCCGGTAATAAACAGGCATGGTGCGATAAAAAGCAACAACTTTCTCGCGCACCGCGGGGAGGTGAGCGCGCGCCAGGGGAGCTCGAGGCATGAGGATCCCGGTATTTTGGATAACAGCTGAAACGGTAGCCTGGAGTCCTGACGTAGCTTTTTCCCACAGTTTAAAAAAAGACCAGCCACAGCATCTCCAGAGAAACTCCCTGCCATGCAATGACGGAAACGACACTGTCGTGTTGAACAGGGCGCTCAGATTTCAATCTGATAAGGTCACCGAGGGACTTTGCGCAAAGCTTTGCTCAATATGCAAAGCGCAGGATGTGTGGAAAGCAATATGCGAAAAGCGACAAAGGAAAGAGTTTACTAGAAACATCACTGTGCATTGGTCTCCTCTTCATACACTGTAAAAATACACTTCATTCACTGCACTTTTTTCGACCACTTCATATTATACTGAAGAAGAAAATCGAGTTTACATATACAATGAAGTAGACATTGTGAAAAAATAAATTAACAAACAGTGCAGTGCATTATTACCTTTAATCAATGTCACTGTGCAATATAATCTTATGCGCAATTCAAATTTCTATTTATTCATATTACCTGTACTTTTCTCCATAGTACATAATTTAACATAACAGTTCATATGTACGTTCTGTAAATGTCTGCGATTTGTACTATCCTGTAGCTGTTATATTTGAGTCCAGCTTCTGTTAGGAATTAACATTTTTCTGACTGATTACCAATAAAGCGGTGCCTTTGCATTTTGTCACCACATGCACCTGTAAATTGTGTAGACTAATTCACACACACGATGAACCGAGGGATGGCAACATTAACCTTAACACTCAAACAGTGAAAATAAATAATCATTCATCTACTTAAAGCACTGGACCGTGTTCTCTCCACACAGTAGCGGGATAAAGCTGAATCAGGTCCTTTTACATCTGTTCATTAGATCTTTGGCTTTTGTGTTCCATTTTAAAAATGGAATTAAAATTAAAAGTTAAACTCATTCAGATAAATGTGATGTAATTTACCTTTGTATGACAGTCGAAGGCGCGGCACGTTAAGTTTAGTGCTGGTGCCGAACGATAGGACCACCGCCACTAAAACCAGAACCGGTAATTCCATGTTGAATGGACCACTTTCAATTAACCCTTTTTACACTAACGGGAATAAATACTTCTCTCAGGGCTGAGTCCCCTTATCCACGTTTGAACGAACTCCAGGCGCAAACGATGTTGGACATCCACAGCTGGACCCGCGTGGTGAGATCCCAGGTCTCAGGTTAAGCTCGAGTCGCTCGCCTGTGCCCCTGTGCGCTATTTTCCCACACTGCTCCAGCTCAAGTGCGCACGTCTCTCTCTCTCTCTCTCTCTCCGTCTCTGTCTGTCTGTCGCTCCCTCGCTCTCTCCTGAAGTCCGTTCGCTCAGTCCTGAGAAACACCCTCCCCGCCTTCTCAGCGCCTCGAGAGCTAAACGGCTCCCCGGTACTCGCCTGTCACTCGCGTTCAGTTCCTGTCATTGCGCTTCGTAGTATCAGTATCAAGGGTGCGAGTAACTGGTTCTCAGAAATATTTATATTTTTACATACAAGTTATAGCCTACTTCAAAAGCATTTCCAAACAACATTTCAGTAAAGTTAGTTAAAGCACCAAAATGACTCCCGCGAACAGTCGCGTTCGCTTGAGGAGGTAACCATAGCGACAGTAGGCAGCGCGAGCGCTTTCCATTCGGCGGCACGAGACAAAACTCAAATGATTATACTGCACCTTAAAAAATACTGACAGGACTCGATCCTGAAAGCTATTAAATAATTCATACACTATCAATGGCAGTTTTCCAAACAAGTTAATCAAAAGGATTTCATGTGTAGAGGAACACCACTGGGAGGAACACACAACACTTACTTTGAATTATTATGTAGCCTATACTGGAAATAGTTTATATCCATTCATAAATCATACTGGCTTAATGCTGTTTAAAGCTACTTAAATGCATAAGAAAGACTGGATGGGTTGTGATCATTAAAATCACCATATTCTTATATAAACCATAAAAATGTTACCCTGCATTGTAGCTGGTTTTACATGGTTTCTAGCAGGACCATGCTGGTCATTTAAGGCCATTGCCTGGTTCAAACTGGTCTTGATGATGGATCACATAGATAAACTGGTATACCAAACTGACAAGACAATCCATTTTAAGCTGATTTGAAATTATTCTTCTTAAAAATTTCACAGAAAACAAAGCTCATTTTTTTATTGAAATCTTTAAGATTTGTTATTATTTAAACATATTTACTAAAAACATAAAATCACTGTTTCACTGTACCTCAACAAATTAAAATGCAGTGCCTAATTGTTTAAAGCATTGTGACAGAAATTACAATAAATATTGTTTCAATATATTTACATTGAGTACGTCTCTCTAGTATTTTAGACATTTTCACCATAAAAATGAAATAAAAAGTATTTTATCTTTCTTGCAGTAACAGTTTCATTTGTCGTTGGTCTGTACAGTGCACACATTCGGTCTGCTTATAAATGTTTGTGATTGGATGTTTTGCAAGACTCTATTCTGATTATTTTGACTCCAGAACATATAACCTAAGGACACATTCCATCTCTCCCTTGATCTGCCAATTGGTGCTATTGTTGCGGCTTGCTGATTTTAATTAACTCAAGGGTTGCATTGGGGAGGTAGTTTCAAAAAGAGTCTTTTGTAAAACACGTTTTTCTGCCAGGGGGTTCAAAAGAGGTCCTGATACTCTGAGAGCGTTTAGACGCTGCAGGATCTTTTGATCAAGACAATCAAATGGAGAAAAATGCAGACGTCATTGGTGCATGATGTCAGCATACCACTTCCAAAGCTGTTACTGTCATAGCAACGGGTGATTAGAAATGACCAGGAAAAGGAGAGAGAGAAAGAATGTGTATTATATAGGGAAAGATTTCAGACACAGTATGACTGTTTGCCAAGTGCAAAGAACCTGTTTTAACAGACTTTTAGTTTATTGTCTAGGACATTTTGTAGTTAAAGTCTGCAAAGAGTACTCAGTCATTCCATGTCCAAACATAGCAGCTCACGTCTAAATATACAGAAGGATTCAGGCAATGATTTAAACTGACAGCCAGTATGTTGGTGGGCTGAGAGAACAACTTTGAGATGGTGTGTGTGTGTTTCTATGGGTTGAGCTCCTCCAAATCTTTCTTAGCCTCATCTCCATGTTTTAGTAGTGTACATTAATAATGATTCTGTATGCAAGCAATTTTCTTTATCATTTATACTTTCTACACAGTATTGCTTTTTTGTCCCCAAAAAACTATTATTTAATTGACATCTAATGGGAGACAGCAGAGAAATTATTCAGTGATCCTTTTGTACAGAGCTTTTCACAGTTTGGACAATTATAAAGTTAAATGGAGTAAATCAATTATGTTACCATTTAAATCACTAAAGCTAAAGCAAAATTAATGCAAAATGTTTTTGATAAACATGATGATAAACTGATACATGTGATGATAAACTGATGAACATGATGAACAATGTTGCTTCTCTCAAATACCTTCTTATCTTTTAGCTTACTTAAAGGGATAGTTCACCCAAAAATGAAAATTACCTCATGATTTACTCACCCTCAAGCCATCCTAGGTGTATATGACTTTCCTCTTTCAGACGAATACAATCGGAGTCATATTAAAAAATGTCCTAGCTTTTCCAAGCTTTATAATGGCAGTGAATGGGTGTTGATATTAGTAGTCCAATAGAAGTCCAATAAAGTGTGTCCATCCATCATAAAAAAAAGTGTTCCACATGGCTCCGGGGGGTTAATAAAGGCCTCCTGAAGCAATTTTCATTTTTGGGTGAACTATCCCTTTAAAGGTTGGATGATTTCAGACCAGAGAAAGAGAAGAGAGAAAACTAGAATGAAAATACTAGAAAAGCGACAAGTTGCTTCATCAAAGAGCGTGTGTGAACCACCTGCTAGACATATGAAATGTGAGGTAACCACAAATCCCTGCTGGGGCTTGACCCTTGACCCCATGAAGAGGAAAGAGATCAATTATAGAAAGTCTTGATTGTACTGTGACCTCTGACACAAAGCTCATTCTCCTCTCTTCCTTTGCTCTTTTTCTCATTAGTCTTATTTTCCTTTTGAGGATATTACAGTGTACTAGTCATCCCACCCTTTCCTCTTTTCAAGCTATTTCTCTCAGACTGATAACAGTTGCGACAATGATGGAAGCACATACTTATACACAAATTCACTTCCAGCTTGCTAAAAGAAATTGAGATGATGGTGCATGTATTTATAGGAAATGACATCTCAGAGCTCAGGGGCTTTGTGTGCATGTGTATCTAAGTGTGGGACTTGATAATAGATTATCAGAGGAAGTCTCCAGAATAGTGTGTATTTATGGCATATGGCCAGATACACAACAACTTCAACCTTCCCTGGCCAATAGGTAGATTAATGAACAGATCTGAACCCAAAACTACAGTACAATTACACCCTAAATTCTGCATCCTGGCTTATAGTTCTGAATATATTCACGTTCAAGCCATTATGTGGAATGCATCTTTGGGTTTGGGCTTGTTATGGGTCTGTTTGAATCTTCTCTGAATTTGAGGAGGTAATTTGATAACCTGAAACTGATAAGGGTTTTGTATAAATGTGATTACTCATGAAATTCTGATAACATGCCCCAGTTTGCGGTCTGGAGAGGGTGTGATGCTTTGCAGCAATTGGTCAAGTATGTTAGGGTTATGACCCTGACACAGATGATCATAGTGACATTGTCATTGACCGTGACTCATGACCTTTGACCACCTGTGCATTCGGATTTCATTTATTTGTTTACCATCAAAACCCCAGTGCTCATAAATCATAACTGTCACAACAGTGTGCGTTTGTGTGTGTGGGTTTAGAGGTAATTGTGTGGCTTTGAGTGACCTGTCAGTCTGTATGTTTGCAGGTGTGTGTGAATGTATATTTCTGAGAAAAAAATGGTTTAGCATAAATATTTAGGTTTGTGCACATCAATGCCCATTGTGTTTAGTCTGTTGAACTGTGAATGCATGTGTGGTTTTAAAATCTGTTTTTAATGTGATAACAGCTGAATATTAGAGATTCATGTTTACAGTGGTGCAATAGGTCAATTACCAACAACAGCTAGGTTGTAGTAGAGCATGCGCGCGCATACACACGCACACACACACACACACACCAGTTGTAGCTGAACATACTTGTGAATATGCTAATTATCCTCAAGACTAAAATGTCTCTCACATCTAGATTCCTAGATGTCAAAAATAGAAAATGTCTCTCACCCTCCTCTTTCTGAGCTTCAGTAATCTATAAAATTAAACTCTGAACAACAATTTTTAAGTCAAATAAATTATAAAATACTTATTCCTATTACACAGCTCTGAGAATTAATTGATACTGACTGGTCAAACAATATTCTGCATTCAAATATTTATATATTTTAAATAATTGTGATTTTTTTTTATAAAGGATTATAAATTATCACAATTGTTTTAATTTGTATAACATATAATTATTTATTTATTTATTTATAGTTTTTATAGATACTTTTATAGTTTAAGTATTTATAGATACAAACTTATTTAAAGATTATGCAAACTACCGTTCAAGGGTTTGGGGCCAATAAATTTTTTTTTGTTGAGAAATTAATACTTTTATATAGCAAGGACACATTAAAGAGCAAAAGTGACAGTAAAGACATTTATAATGTTACAAAATGTTTCTGCTTCAAATAAATACTGTTCTTTTGAACTTTCTATTCATTAAAATTTATCACAGTTTCAACAAAAATATCAAGCAGCACAACCATTTTTTTAACACTGATAATAATAATAATAATCATCATCATAATAATAAATGTTTCTTGAGCACCAAATAAACATATTAAACTGATTTCTAAAGGATCATGAGACACTGAAGACTGGAGTAATAAAATTCAACTTTGCCATCACAGGAATAAATAAAATTTGAAAAAAAAAAAAAAAAAGTTTTTGAACTGTTTTTGGAGATTTTCTATCCACTGTAATTATATTTTCATGATATTAAAGTACTAAGTATTGTCATTGATTGTAAATGTTTTTTTCTTCATTAAAAACAGCCTATATTTAATTAAAGTAAATTGAAGGTGAATTTTAAATTTTTCTTAATAAAAAAAAAAAAAAAAAAATTGAAAAAAAAAAAAAAAAAAGTGAAATAATATTTCACAATATTATAGTGTATTGGTGAGCTTAAGAGGCTTCTTTCAAAAATTAACAACAATAAAAAA